GATGGTGATGGTCGAGGTGGTGGTGGAAGTGATGGTGGAGGTGAAGGTAGAGGTGATGGTGATGGTGGAGGTGAAGGTGGTGGAGGAGGCGATGGTGGTGGAGGTGATGGTGAAGGTGATGGAGGTGGTGGAGGTGGAGGTGGCGGAGGTGATAGGGGAGGTGAAGATGGAGGTAGAGACGAAGGTGGAGGTGGTGCTGATGGCAGTGATAATGAAGTTCCCAGCACTGGAAATGAGGGAAGCCCTTCCCTAGAGCATCTGGAGCTATCTGCTGGTGTGTTGCTATCTGCTGTCAGGTCAACATGCAATCAAGCTCCGACTTTCCTTTTGAAACTCTACACAAATGATCGGCCGTCCTCCCCGCCGCCGTCAGGCTGGCTGCCTACACAGAGGGAGGCTGCCTGACCACAGGAGATCGCTGCTGGCCAGGACAGTCCTGCTAGCTGGGAACCCGCCACCTAGCCACTGTTCCCACTGACTGGCGCTGCCCCCTTGAGCCACCGTCAACCACTGAGCACAGGTCACTCTCCTGGGGAGGCTCCAGTGCCCGCAGCTCACCCCCTCTTATTTGGGTTACGTATTCTCCAGGGTCCCACCAGGCTGTTCAGAGGAAGTGGCCTCTGCACAGGGTCCCTCCTGCCCCCGATGCCCCCCCACCCAGACAACATGTACTTCCTCTTCTCACCCCCCAACCCCTTCAGGTCTCCCTTCTCCGCCCTGGTCCCGGTCAGTGAGTAGCTTCTCTGCCCACTGCAGAGCCGTGGGGCCGGGAGCCCAGGGCGGGGGGTGAGGGGACGAGCCAGCTCCCGCTGTGTGCCCATGCCCAATCCTGCTGCAGCCTGCACTCTGCTCCCTTCCTTCCGAGGACCTGGGTTCACACATTCCAAGTCCACACGGCAGAGCCCTTCCTGACCTTGGGTTCTTTCTGCATGAGTTCACTTGGTCACTTTTTAAACCAGTACAAACGTGCACACACACACAGATACACACAGACGCACGCACACCTGCAACGCTCGCACGCACACATTCACACATACTCGCACCGCACACGCTCTGCATCTTCCTTTTGCCCCCTGAGGCGAGGGGCAGCCCCACTCGAGGGTGGTGGGAGAGTGGGGGGGAGTGGGGGGGAGCTCGCCTCGTCACTTCTTGCTGCCTTACAAGATGTTGGTCACAGCGCAACGTCACTTTCAGACCCTGTCCCCACGCGGCAGTCAGGGCTCTGGAAGGGGCTCTGAGGGGCCGGGCCCAGCCTCTAGAAGGTGCCGGTTGCTGCACCCCCCCCCCCAGCAGCTGGGGGCCGGTTCTCCAGGGGGCACGGTGAGGCTGCTCGGTAAACGTTGAGTCATTGTGGCACACGTCTCTGAACTAAATACATTTTTCACAAGAGCAAACCGTCCCCGTGACTCCCGATGCCTCCCTGCACCCCTCCAGGCTGGTAGACCGGCTTCCTCGACCGGGACCCGCTGCACCTGCCTCGTCAGTGTCCGGTAGGCTGAGCCACGGCGCCCCCGCCTTCCAGCACCACAGCATCCCCCGCGGACATGGTGCGGACCTAATCCAAGTTCTCCTCGCTTCCGGGAAACCCCACCGGCTCCATCCTCAGAACACACCCCGGATCTGCCCACTCCACCCCTGCATCACGCAGCAGACTCCCACCGGCTCCCCGGCCGCCTCGCCACCATCTGTGCTCCACGCCGCAGCTAAGGGGAGCCTGACCACACTCGCGGGCGACACGGGCCCTCCGCTCACAGCCCCGCGCTGCCTCGATGGGCCCGCACAGGCAAAGCGTGACCGTCTGCTCCAGGCCGTCCCCCTTCTGCCGGCCCTGCTTTTCATGTAGCACTTAGCACCTCTCCATCGACTACTTTAATCCTTTGTCCTCCTTTTGCTTTTGTTCTGTCTTCCCACACTCGGGCACCAATTCCGTAAAGGCACGGGTTTGTCTGTTTTGCTCACTGACATACGATGAGGAGGAGGAGGAGGAAGCCGGGCCTGGCCCAGGCCTGGCCCATGGGAGGTGCTTAGTAAATATTTGCTAAGTGAATGAATGCACGGAATGCATTTCTATTTCCAGCCCCAGCCAGGCCCCTGGAAACCCAGAAACACAGGCAGATCTGCAAAGAAGAAAGCCCTCACTTTCGGGGTTTGGGAAGGGTTTCTGTTTGAGGTGCCGGCTAAGGCACTCTTTTTTCCCTTCTCGAATCTCCCCACACCTCCTGCACGCCTCCTGCCTGTGGGCTTCACAAGCCGCTGATCTGACAGGCTGGGTTAGGGGAAGGGGGTTCCGGGGTGGGGGCAGGACGCTGAGGCCCCAGGCTGTCCCAGCAGCTGTTCCATTTGCAAATGCCTGGAATTCTGGAACTGTTCCCACCCAGCCGAGCCAGGGCCAGCTGAGGGCTGACCCCCTTTAAGCTGGCCGCTGGGTGGGCCCTTCTGCCACAACCTTCCCTGTCTGTCCTCGTCCTGGAGCCCAGAGGCCAACCTCGCGGGCGTGGCGGGCCCGAGTGTGCCCCCTCCCAGCCCCCCCTGGGGAGAGGCAGCTCAGCCTGGCCCCCCTCATGGTCACACGCCCGATGGCTCAGGCCATTCCACGAGTCACAAGGCAGATTTTCCATTAGCGTCAAACGCATGTGGGTCCTGACCTGCGGCTGATGCGAATGGAAGGGAGAAGAATTTAGGTAACTCGTGTATGGGGCGGGGGGCGGGGGATCTCCAAGCCAGACCCCTGAAGGGCACTGCACCCCAGCATCAGGGGCGGGGACGGCGCTTTGAGGGTAGACCCTGGTGCACACCCCTCTGCTTCTGTCCATCTGTCTCACGCGCAGACATGGACCCTCCTCAAGGGTGAGCGCTACAGCCTGGGGGGTATAGGGTAGAAGGATTCAATGATTTGCCAGGTTGCAAGAGCCCACTGGATGCCTCTACACCCCAAACATTCGTGGAGCACCTACTGCCTAGCACTGTGAGCTCTGTGGGACCCCCCTGGGCCTGAGAGAGTAGGAGGCGCTCCTGGGTGAGGTGTCAGGCCCCGAAATGCAAGATCTTCTAGGGGCGACGGCAGCAACAATTCATGTGCTGTCGGGCGCTGGTGGCTTTCACCTTCCCAGACACAATGTCCTCTTCATCTAGTAGCAAAACCCCCCTTCGCTTCCCTTCAGGGAAACCTCCTCACCCCCTCTTACCCTCACGATGGCTTCTGTTGTCGGTGGGACAGCCTCCCTGTCCCCAGAGCGGTCACAGGAGCTGGCTGGAGTCGCGCGACCCGAGGCCAGCCAACCAGAGAGAGGTGCTCCCCCACCCACAGGAATTAGCTCAGCAACGGTCATGTGACCCAAGTCCGCACAATCCAAACCCTGCCCAGGATTTTTCTGGAAGGGTGAAGGCAGAACGACCCTGATCCTCCAAGCTGGGAGTTCTGGGGACCCCCCAGGCCTCGAGCTCCCAGGCCATCATCTTTGCCTGGGAGCAAGGCCAGCATCAGTGAAATCAAGTTTAGAGTCTGAGTTAAGGTGGTGCCCAGTGTGGCTTTCCAGATCCTGGATGCGGCTGTGCCTGAAGGTAGCTGCATCCTACACTTGCTAGTTAAATCAACCAGCAAACTCTCTTCTTTTCTGAAATGAGCTTGGCTTGGGGTCCCGTCATTTGCAACCGAAAGGAATCCTCAGTGCCACTGAGCAATGCTAATTCTCAATGTATTGAAATGGGGTTCTGTAGACGGTTATGGGGAGCAAACCAGTGAGAGGGTACTGGTAAGATAAAGCCTTCCTGGCTCTGAAAAGTCGGGGAGGGGATCTCAGGTTTGGGCAGATACACGTGCAGACCCCCCTCACCCTTGCGCTGCTTCTGAAACTGCCCATCTAGGCTGGGCCAGCTGAGCTGTTTCCTAAAGAATCTTTGCAAGCAACTAGAATGGACCCTTATCAAAGAATTAATTCCCGGAACTAAGAACGGCATAAAATATTTCCAAACCATGAGTTCCTCCTCCTAAGAATTCGCATGAACATGGTGAAAACCTGGGCAGGTCTGTAAGCCCCTCCAGTGGGGGGGCTGCTCATCCTCTAGACGCGCACCCCCACCTGTCTCCCTTCCCCTCATGGCCCCCCCCAGCCACGTGTCTCTGGGGAC